GGGTTTCTGGAAGGTTTTGAAAGGGTTTTATATTTTTTTAGATATATTTATGCTTTATGCTCGCAAAAAAAAATATAAAACCCTTTCAAAACCTTCCAGAAACCCTCTAGCAATTCTCTGGCTTGTGCCTAAGCTCGTCCATTGAATTCCTGACGTCCAGAAGCCTAGAGGGATTAAGTTTTATCGTTTTCCAGCCAATAATGAAAAAGTTAGAAAAAACGGTCTGGCCGTTCAGAACCTAACCCACGCAGAATTCTCGTGGTAATTTTCAAAATTCCTGTGGAAAAGTAAGATTCTCGTGAAGAATGAATTAGCGATATTCTCAGCTCCTCTCACCAAGTAAAATTCTCGTGGATGTTATGTAATTTCGGAATTGATGGAACTCGGACATCCCTCGCTGTGACCGCTTTTTTAGGCGATTTTTTCTTCGATTTTTTCTGTATGGGATACACGACAAATACCAAGAATCATTGCTGTTGGATGAAGCTGATAATGACTTCAGTGTACGAACACATGAAAAGTGCAATGCGCACCGTGATGAGTTTGAAAAACTTAAACAAACTAGTCATGGTTTTAGGACTACGTTTTTAAATGCCGAAGTCGTTTTTAAGACTTCACATTGCATATTCAGTATTACTCACGGCCACTGAACAATCATCTGTCCACGAACCAAAGCTCATCAGTTCTGATTCAGCTCTCGAGGTCATAGGTCCATCCCACGAGCTGAATAAATATACTAACTCTCCTTGGAGTCTCGTCCTGAATGCAAGGAATCTGATCTAGCTCGTATAACTGCAGAATGTATTAAGCGCTTCAACTCATGATGAACAATTCAAGAAACATGGCCCATAATCATACGTAAAAAAAGCACACAAAGAAACCGAAACTTCCACAAAAAATAAAACCACGCTGCCTCCGAAACATATTAGAAAACGACTATTCCATCTACTTGCTTACTCTCCAAGCGCTTCACCTCCTTTGGCGGATATTTCGTTCCCTGCAAGATCAAGTTGAGTGAGAGTGGTGTTTATTTTCAGTGTTTCTGCTAGTGCTTCACCTCCGCTATCAGTTATTTTGTTCCGTGCAAGATTAAGTTGAGTGAGAGTTTTGTTTACTTTCAGTGTTTCTGCTAATACTTCAACTCCTCTATCGGATATTTCGTTCCCTGCAAGATCAAGCTGAGTGAGAGTGTTGTTTACTTTCAGACCTTCTGCTAATGCTTCACCTCCTCTATCGGATATTTCGTTCAGTCCAAGATTAAGCTGAGTGAGGGTGTTGTTTACTTTCAGTGCTTCTGCTAGTGCCTCACCTCCTCTATCGGATATTTGGTTCCATATAAGATCAAGTTGAGTGAGAGTGTTGTTTACTTTCAGTGCTTCTGCTAGTGCTTCGCCTCCACTATCAGTTATTTGGTTCTTAGAAAGATCAAGTTGAGTGAGAGTTTTGTTTACTTTCAGACCTTCTGCTAATGCTTCACCTCCTCTATCGGATATTTCGTTCCCTGCAAGATTAAGTTGAGTGAGAGTTTTGTTTACTTTCACTGCTTCTGCTAGTCCTTCACCTCCTCTATCGGATATTTTGTTCCGTGCAAGATTAAGTTGAGTGAGAGTGTTGTTTACTTTCAGTGCTTCTGCTAGTGCTTCACCTCCTCTAGCGGATATTCTGCTGTTTTTAAGATCAAGTTGAGTGAGAGTCTTGTTTACTTTCAGTGCTTCTGCTAGTGCTTCACCTCCTCTAGCGGATATTTCGTTCCCTGCAAGATTAAGTTGAGTGAGAGTGGTGTTTACTTTCAGACCTTCTGCTAGTGCTTCACCTCCTCTAGCGGATATTTCGTTCTCTGCAAGATCAAGTTGAGTGAGAGTGGTGTTTACTTTCAGTGCTTCTGCTAGTGCTTCACCTCCTCTATCGGATATTTGGTTCCATCCAAGATGAAGTTTAGTCAGAGTCTTGTTTACTTTCAAATGGTTTGCAAGTTTGCAAATGGATTGTTCAAAAGCATTACGAGTCGTCGGGTGCTGAGGGCCGCTGAATGCCATAGCCAGGCTTAGTGACGATAGTTGTGTCATACGGGACAAGTGCGGTACCACGACTTTGAGCACTTTTTCTGGTGTGGTATCGAACAAGGATAAAGAGCGAAGATTTACCAATGTGTTCTTGGAAGACTCGATGAAGAACAAGTCAACGTAACTGAAAGTCGCGTCAGACAGACACAAAGAACGAATTTGCGCTGTTGATGGAAAGTGTTCGCAGACAAAGTTACATTGGGATTCACTGGTGTGTGGAAAGTTCAGATCAAACTGTATGCTGCCAAGTAGTCCATCGAAACGATAGTTTAATCGAAGAAATGAGTGGAGAATATCATAAGCATCGAAATATTCAAAGATGTCAAGAATCACTTCATTCGCAAGCGATTCAAATTGTGTCACATCTAAACAAACATGCATTGTCAAGAGTTTCAATCATTGGTCTCTCTTATATGAAGGGGCTCTCTGAAGTATAAAGGAGGGAGAATGGCAAGGTGGCAGCTATTAGCAGCTTAGTATGGTCCTGACCATGGATGTGATATCTCTCTCCACTTTTCATTACACATTGCAATCATCAGTTTTGTGTGTGCCGCAACAAATGTGGTTGAAAAACACATGATCAACTTACTATTCTGTGCCTGCTTTAAATATTCATTGTTGCCACAAGTACTGAGCAATCGGTCTGATAAGTGATGCATCTCTCTTCGGGATATGAAATCAACGTTTGTATTCATTGTGCTGTCAGTTGTAATCGGAGGACTGGATTGACGTGATGTTTTTACGAACATCATTTAAATGTTTTCATGATGACATCACTGCTTTATGTTTTTCTTTTCTAGGATATTTTCCACTAGCCATCAATTTTTCCCGTCAAAAATGGCCACCGTTACAGATATAAAAAAGGAAAAACCAAATTTGATTGATCAATTTTTTGAAATTCAGCTCGTAGAAAAATGTATTAATCAAAACAGAGAAATCGATCTGCAACTGAAAGGTTGACTACGTCTGTCACTAAATTATCATCTTTTCTCATTGGTTTGTACCATTTCAGTGAGAAAATATAACGACACTTGTTTGTTTTTTTTCTTTTCTCTTAAGAATATCTATTTCATATATGTCACCACTGTCTGTTATATTATATGCAATACTTTACTGTAATACTACTGCATTACAGGAGAAACAGAAAGAAATAAAATCACTCTGTATTTTGTTTTAGCTCACTCTCTAACTGAGCCTTCAGTGAACAAGATAGCTTGTTTGCATCATGTTCCCGAAGAAAAAACCGGGTAAAACATGGTGAAAGTAGTA